AAGAGAAGCGGCGAAATAAAAGTGGCGATCCTGGCCATTGACATGTCGTTTCTTTCGCGAGAAGAAATCTCAGCTGGCTCGTATTCTCTCTCCCGAGATCCAGGAAATTATCGTCGACAAGATCGTAACTCCCGAAACGCGAGCTTCTTCTGCGGGATATCCGCCTGTCTGTTGTCCCGTTCGTTGCAACCGTGCGCGCTGGTATCGCGAATAATTAATACTGCGGTTTGTTTGCACGAACAATCACAGAGCCGAGCTTCTCTCCCTCGATCGTGCTCGCGTCAGTGACCGCTTTCTCGCTCCAGCTATTGACTACGAGACATGGAATACGCCGGCATTCTCTGAACGTTAAGCACCTTGATCCAAAGTCCGTCACATTAAGGCCGACGTTAGATATGTGCGGGAAATCGTGCGTCGTGTCGGTAAGGACCACTGGGTAATCAAGGATCATCAAGGGATTGTGGAATATTCCGTGCTACCGTACCTCTGGTAGATGCGCAATTTGCCGAATGTTACGGCGAGGAAGTACACAATGCCTTTGCAACAGACCGTAATGATTTCTAGAGTTTGCTCCCTCGAGAGAATATTAGTCGTAAGCGTTGCATTACTTGGCGTGAGACAGCCCGTATAAGGTCGCGCTAAATTCGACACCTTATCGTAATGGAAAACAAAAACGTGGATATATATTACACGTATATATCTCTTAGTTGAAGTTCTTGGAAAGCTTTAAAGCTCAATAATTTGCAATAAAAATTTTAAAATTCGCTAGAAACATAAAATTCAACATAAAATTATCCGTTTTGTATTTTTATAAATATAAATCTTTGAAACTTGTTACAATCTGTAACTGTGCTATATCTTTTTTATTAAATCTACTTAATTCACATATATTAATTAATTATGGATCCATAATCTGACTTTTAGTATTTTCATGACATATTCTAATTATTTGTATAATGCTCATTTTCCAAGGGAAACAAATTTTGTTTGGAAAATGAGATTACCTTTCGCTCAAAGCATAGTAATAAATGTCACATGATGTGGTGTGTAACTATTTTGGCAGCCTCGGTTGGCTCTTGCGAGATCAAACTCGTAATCTGATGGGGCAGTTGCAAACACTTGCAATATAACATATGGACATTTTATCGATAGATACAGACACACACACACACACACACACACATACACACACACACACATACACACACAAGATAACTACTAAGTACAAACTGAAATAAAAATTATATAACCAAATAATTATAGAAAATTACAAAAAAAGAATATGTTTACTGAAGAATATACATAATATAAGTAGAAAACACACAAATTCCGCATATTTTTTTTACGTAATCCAAATACTTTTTCTTGCTTGTAAAGTTTTAATAATGTATCTTTTCGAAAAGATTTACTAACACACATACATATCAAAATTTATATGATATATTTAAATATATCTAAATATTGTTATGTGTGAAACCTAATAAATTATTAAAATCTGTTCTGCAAACCCAAACAAAAAAACTAAAAATTTTCTTATAAATTAAATAATAATATATATATTTTGCATTATATAAATAGTATAATTAGTAATTTAAATAAATAGTATAATTCGATTCTTCGTAACAAAAATACGCCTTGATATAATGCATTAAAGGTTATGATTATTTAAAAGAAGAAAAATTCTCGGCGAGTACTAATCTCTATGAAACCCGGCAAATTCCAAGGACCCAGCTTCAATTAGGTTTAGGACCGTAAAAATACTTCGCTGGGGATGCCTCCTTTCCTTACTGCTTCCACTTCCGCAGGAAGCAATTTCGGCCCTTTAATGAAATTTTAAAATTTGCCGCGGAGTCGGGATAATACATAAATCGTTTTATACTGAATCACGCAGCTTATTTCCGCACTTCATACAGAGCGATAAAAATGAAAATATTATAACTGCATTGAATGATCCTTACTTTGTGATAAGAGACTTTGGCAAAAAAGTAGTTGATTTTCGCAGAAAGTAATTGAATTTATTTTAGTAATGTTGTATCTATAAGATATGTTTTGTCAAAAGAGTTAACATTATAATCTTTTACAATTAATTTATAAACATGCAGTCACGATCAATTACGAATAATTTCGATTGTCTAATTTATATTTATATCTAAAGTCCAATATTAATGATATAATAATTTGTAAGAATCATTTGTTCGCTAACACTACTTTTGAAAATAAATATTTTAATATGTGATATAATATACAATAAAAAAATTAAATATGTTAGGTATCAATTAATAAAAATAGTTAATAGAGTAAGCAATTTTCTTGATATATTATTTAATATATTTTAAATGAGAACAGTTTAACAAGCGCAGTACTAATTTATATAAAATCTCATTTTCTAATGAATGAGATCTTATATAAATTAGTACAGCTTGCTAAACAAATAAAATAAAATAGATTAGATTACTCTCTGTAACTTGTACAGCATAATCTGCACAGTAAATCGCAGTAAAATTTAGTATAATGGATCACTGACAAGCTGCATAATTAACTTTAGAATATCAAGCTTCTCAGTAAAAAAATTTTTCACAATTTTCTAAATATAATATAATAAACTTAATATTTTTAATTATAATGCAATAACCTTGAAATGTTTAAATTTATATCATATGTTTAAATCAAGCTTTGACTTATTTTTTATATATTTGCACATATAATTGCTTAATAGATTTATGATTTTAACATAATAGCAAACCATAACTGTTTGTATTATATATATATATATATATATATATATATATATATATATATATATAATACAAATATACATAACACACACACATATTATAAATCATTTTTAAATTTATAAATCTTTTCACGATATTCTGTTATTTCAAAAAGATAATATTTATTATATTATTAACATAATTAGATACGTTACTTTTTGTTTAATCTGTTTATACGTATCAACAAAAACATATTAATAATTATTAAGTACTTTAATCATTTATAATTCTTATATCTATCTCTCTTGAAAAATATATTTAAAAAACTGTGTATCTCTTTTATTCTTAAATATATTTCTTTATTAACTTATAATTGAAAATGTACACACACAAATCAAACAATTGCTAAAAAGCACAATTAGTTGGAAAAGAACAAAATACATATAACATATAAATGTTTGTTATTAATTAGCGAAATTAGTACCCTTATTATGTACTGTACAACATGGTAACACCTTGCGCAAGTCGTAATAAGACGCTTTATTATTTCAGAGCACCCTAGAGAGTATCTGAGGTATATACTCCCTACTCCTCCCCTTTTCTCTCTCGCAAGTCACTGTACATAAAATCCACCATTACTCATGCAACAACTTAAAATATAAATAAACTACTCGATGTCAGTACTAACGTGAGCTCTCTTCGCATCGTTACCATTTGAAAGCATACCTCCCTCTCTCTCTTTCTCTCTCTCTCTCTAAACAAAACGATAAAACTATATAAATTCGGGTTTTATTTAATCGTATGCCCTATTAAAGGAAATTAATAATTTATTATTAACGAGAGAATTGCGGGATACTATCAGAGAATCTCACGCGATATCGGTTATAGCTGTATCGTGTGTGGCTGTTATGTGCTAAAACGAGTTACGCTAAAAAGCGTTAATTTTGCGGTGACCGTCGGCATCGATTATCGAAAGCGCACCCCTTTGTATCCTGGCTGTGAACAAAGTGGTACTTTTTATTATTTGCGCCAAACGCTTTTCGCGGCAGGCGCGTGACTTGCCGTTTTCATTTCCGCAGGGGTGCCGTTGACCAACCGCGTAAGGATAATGCATCGATTCCGTTCAAAAACGCTCGAGCTTGTTCTCATACATACACACACACACACACACACACACACACACATACACATTTATTTTCGCGGCGCCATAAAATAATCTCGCGCATTTTTATCGCCAAAACATTTCGCGGAAGCGACGCTATCTATAAAACTATAACTCCTCTATACGCGCGGTTTGAGCACAGGTCCTGGTAAAAGAGAAAGAGAGAGAGAGAGAGAGAGGGAGCAGAAGAGAGAATTGAAAAGGATATTTCTCCAGCACGACTGCTTGAGAGGAGGCCGGAAAATAAGGAGAAAACGAGAGGGAAGGAAGATAGACGAACGACAGGGAAACGATCGGCTGGAAGACGGCGGTCGAGAGAGGACTGGAGCCGCTTAACAAACTGCTGAACTCACACCCCGCGGGATTTTATTTCTACTTAAATGGAGTTGCGCAGATATGCACTGTGATCCTAGCTCAATCCCTCGCTTCGAATTTATTTGTACCGTTCGTTAGCTTCACCCGTCCCTGTAGAACTTTGCGAACGTAGTTCGGTAATGACATCGTTCCACCATTCTCAAGCCATCTTAGCGCCAATTTTCTAAATCGCAAATTACAGCGTGTCTATGTATTATCAGAATAGTAATATCCTCCACATGATTTCATAATTTAGAGATAAAGATTCATATCTGCATAATATTACACTTGATGCAAAGTTTAATTATCTTGTATGATTCTCATCTCGTATCTAAATCTACGGCGTTAGTCATACAAAAAAAAAAAAGATTATATAAAAAAAAAAGATTATTATATTAAAGTTATATTAAAAAATTATACTGAAAATTAAAATTTAGAGAATGTTAATTTTTGTTAATTTTTGTTTTAAATAAAAAAAATTAATATAAGCCGTTAAATAAAATCGAAAAGATAATAATCCTATCGAGATCTTATCTTGATTTCAACTCGGATAAAAAGAAATTATTTCGATAGACAATATCGCCCCGTAATTCTATCGTCTAAGGACATGTATACAGTTCGATATCCCTTATCAATGCCAGTCTCAATCCAGTATGAAGAGACATTAGTGCGCGCAACGCGACGTGCAATTGTAACAGCAGCGTAGCGCAATATATATGTAATTGCAATCGTACGTGGAGATAGGATAGAGATTATAATGTATCCCTCACCTTGTATGGTCCGAGATCCTCGACGATGCAGGTGAAAATGGCTTCGCGACCCACCGAGACTGTAAGATTGTTCAACGGTTTGCCGAACTTGGGTAAATCTGTAACACAGAACGTCCTCGATTTAAGTATCACGCCATCGCGCGAACGAACTCTATGTTAACCAGCAGTATACATACATACTTACTTACTTACTAGTACTTATACTTATAGCCCACCTACGTGCGCACCAAAGTTTGCAAAGTACTCGAGAAACTCAGCGGTGAATGGCGCGAGTTAACGTAAGCGGGTCAAGCTAGGACTAAGCTTGGCGCTTTATAATTCCACGATGCTCTTGTATTCACGATTTTGAAAAAAAAAAATTATTCAAAACCATCACGTGTGTTTATCGTTACCGTGCGATAAAATTTAAAGTGCGATAGACACTCGTGAAGCAATTCTTATTATAAATCAGTTTGAGAGAGACTCGATTTAAGTACGCGACCCTTTCTATTCTTATAGAATATAATAATGTTGAAAATTCCAAATTAATAAATAAATTTATCTTTCTGAATTGATAAATAATACGGCTCTATGTATTTAACAACATGATAATTAAGAAACGAGCAATAAGAGCCTAAAAAACGCGGATGGTAATGCGTAAATTTTTTCGAACATTAATTGTTCGCGGAAAAATTTTTTTTTTAAAACATACATATATGCCAAGTTATAGATTCTCTTGGTTTGAGACTTCTATAACACCCCCTTTAAATTTATCTTTCATTAAATCTTGATGAAAAATAATTCTAGTCATAATTATGTTTAGTATTTTCATTACATATGTATATATGTTGCAATGTTTTGTAAAATTTTTGTACAAAAAATATAGCTTTTTTTTATAAAGCGTGGAATATGTATAAACCAGCATTTTATGAAAAATCTAGGCTTTTTGTAAAGAGAATATTTACAAAGAGAATGGGAATATATATAATCTGTATTATTTTATAATGCATACATTCTCAAGTTATGCATTTTTTACATATGCGAAAAAGATAAATGCTGGCATTTAAAAAGTAATTACAATAAAAAAAATTTGTAAGAGGGATTAATGAAGATTATATTACATAAATCATTCACCAATTTTTATATCTCATTATTGGCCTTATTAAATTTCCTTGCGGTGGGATTCATTACGCGGTAATCAAATAAGCGTTATTGTGAGAGTGATAAGATTATTTATACAATATGTAACAAAATTCTCCTTTCATTAAGCTCAGCTTTATAGACGGCCTGTTCGTCAAACTTAGAAACTTCTAAAAGGCCATTAACAAGCAAGCCAATTACTACTTCAAAGAAAATTTTCAAGACGAAATAGTATACTTATGAAACTACGTGTGATGATACGAAGTAAGTTAGCGACAGTTTATAATATGGTACGTGCATCATCGTGTTGCTAGTTTGGAATTTAATATGTACTTAAGTATCTCTCATCTAATAGAGAATCGATGTTGTCCCTAGCCATATTTGCATATTTAATTTTGCGTGAAATAGTTGATTTTATCAGCGAGTTAACTATCTAAAAATCTCAGAATCCAAAATTTTTTAATAAATTATTAACATATGCAGGTTTTTTATCATTCTAGTTTTTATATTATTATTATATTCAGACTTGGATCTTCTCAAAAAGTAGTTCTCAAGCGAATCCAGCTACAGCTTTTGTGCTCGGCATACCATATTGAAGTTATCATTTCGGAATGTGGCATGTTATTTGAAATTCTGATGTTCTATACAAATTTGATAACTTCAAATATACTAACAAATAGCTACGTTATTGCAATCTATATAAAACGCTGAAACGCAAAAATTGGTATATTATCATTTGTATCATGTAGTAATATATAAATGCGCGTTTATATTTTAAATCCACATCATATAATTTTATATATACAAAGATATGCATTTATGTTTTAAATACTTACACATCACGAAATGTAACTCTACAATTTAAATGCCAATTGGAGTATCGCATTTTTTTAACGATATCAAAGATGTAATAACTATATCAAAGTTCATTTACTCTTAAAATATGGGAAAGTAACTTTAAGAGTAGCTGATATTAATTAAATTTGTATTACATAAGTTTTCCGTCGAAAAGTGAATAACATCTATCAATTATTGCAACTTGCTCGATGTATGACTTGCGACAAGTTATAGTGCTCGGTAACAGACCAGGTACTTTGCACACGTCCATCAGAGAAATGAATATCACTCTCCCTTGCATCGTCAGTCATTGTTGCACGTTTAGAAATATAACCGTGCAGTTTGAAGTAACCTCTTAATCTTATTCCTCAAACGTAATAAATGTAATTGCCGCTGTAGTAAATGAATATGATAATTTTACATAGAATAAATTGCGTGATAATCACAACAATCGTAATATTATTCGTTTGACGTATGATATAATGAAACCTATTTATAGCTTTTATATTTTATATATTTCAATGTAATAAATTCCCTCATATAATAATAAATTCAAATTAATGATAACAAATTTACAGATTTTTGAGTTTATTCGCAAACTACATACATATAATGACATGATTCAAATAAGTATAATTCATAATGTTTGTACGTAAATTTAAGCAAAAAAATGCACTTTTTTAAAATTACGTTTCTTTCTCTCCCAAGCAAAAAGATTTATATATCTGCGTGCAAGAAAATTGTTATATATTCATTAATATCTACGATCTTTTCATGAATTACGCCATGAAAGAAGTTGTTAAACTAAGATTTTAAGACTCCCGAATGTCGATTTCCCGGTATATCCTTAAGATCTCTACATTCAAAAGAGCTGTGTGAAAGCAGCGACGGATATTTAATGCACACAGGCGCGCTATTTACTTTCAAGTAATCAAATTTCTCGTCTACACTAATGGAAGTGTGTAAACAAGTTTTTAACTTCATTACGATGCATCTATTTTCTAAATGAAAGTCTATGTAAGTTTCTTCCTGTACGCTCTATAACATATATTTAGTTTGTTTGTAAAGTTATTTTACAAAAATTTATGTGATTTTTATTTAACAAAAAACTATATACTCTGCTTAATATCAAAAAATTTAAATTTGTTATTAAAAAAAATTTGTTATTAAAAAAATAAACTATTGTAATAGCTCGACACAGCACAACTAAACTTTCGTTGTAAAAGGTAAAAAATAAAAAAGTCTATATGTGAGCAACAAAGTTTTATATAACATGAAACTTAAATAATAACAGATTCATTAAAATAAATAAATAAATAGAATAATTGTATATATTTATAATACAATAATTCTATTTTTAAGCTACATATATAAAAGCAATGTATTGCTACGTATATAAAAAACATACACACATATCTACATATATTACAGTCAATTACAACTGCATTTGTGTTAAATCATCAAGTCTTAATTTAAAGTTCCATTTTTTAACTGCTAACATATGTATATGTAGTTTAATCTTTATAAATAAATAATGCATTTATATAATTTGATTAAAAATTTAAATGAAATTTCTTTAAATGAAGTTATTCTAGTATTTCTAGTTATCCTATATTTCTAATAAGTCAAATTATTTCAGTAATGTAATACATAGGAAATATAAATATGTCTATTTATAATTGTGGAATCTGTGATAAATAAGAAGTTGATTTTATAATAAAAATACGATTGAGCTAGAAATTTCGATAGACAAAATACCTGCAGCAATATGATGTATTTTGTAAAGTAATCTTTCGAGTGCACTGTAAACCGCTAAAGATTAAATTGATGTTATAAATCACGTGTTAATATAGCCCAGTTCACGAAGAACTAAAATGAAAAATAATGAGCACACTCCCTCCAACGTGCCTTCAAATAACCATCTAATCTGATTTCTGGTAAACCGAGTAAATGGAAAATAAAGATCAGCACGCGCATATACACACACATACGCACATACACAAAGATGGTGCGGATCGATAGTATCACGGTAATCGAACCGAGGCTAATTATTCTAGAAAGAAACAGGTACAAAATCCATCGTCAGTCGGCGAGACTGCTTAAGGTACACACAGCCGTAATACACTTTTAATTGAACTTAAATCTCCGCTTTACAACGGCTATATTCTACCCTATACGTATACATAACTAAACTTGCAGTATACTTTCTTCTCTGCCAGACTTTCCTGTACAACTTGAAAAGTCTTGTGTAAAATGGTTGTTAATAGGAAACTTTTTTTATAAAAAAGTTTATAAGTGCGTAATATTCTCCAGATAATAAATTTCATAAACATAAAAGAAAAATATAGATTTTTAAGAGATAGATTTTAAATTGTATGCGAAGGTAATGTATATCTAAGACAAAAAAAGTTAATCAAATATTTAAATGTCAGTCAAATTTAAAAAGAGAAATATGAGAATAAAATCAAATTTAAAAAAAGAAATATGAGAATAAAATCAAATTATTTTTATTTTTCAACTCTGGTATGAAAGCTCATACATTCGATTCTCACGATGTTTCTTTTAGTCCTTGTTTGTAATTTGCTTTCACTAATTTTTAATATTTCTTTTCTCTAACCACAACTAGTTTTTATCAACAATCCGCGTAACGATTTAAAATATTCCGCTTGTGTCATGCAATAAAAACTACATTCGAGAACAATTCAATCGTGAATTTTTAGTTTACTCTCACGGCAAAGTCCGACCCATGTGTAATCTTCAGTCTGACCCCATGTAAATCCAGATGGAGAGATTCGAATGCGTGCAAGAGAGATAAACGGAGGGTAAAAGAGAAGAGGCATAGAGAAGAAACGATAGTGGATGAAACGAGTTCTGAATCCTCGCACGTTCGCGTATTACCATTGATAGAGACATCAAGGTTCCTCCTGAAAATAAACGTAACGATCCTATTCCAAGATCGAGAGATCAATACGCCGCCACGACCCATAAACCGATTGGTCCCGGAGAGCAATCAAACCGTTTCTAGAATTATATTCATGAACAATGCAAACGTCGGCGGGTTCTTAATCCGGCGCTGCGCGTCGAAGAAGTAAGCAAGCATACGGCCTGCAAGCGCGACGGCTTCATCTAAGCCGGGTGACAG